AAAAAAAAAAAATTATTATGCGGGCCTCACGTATATGTGTTGTCTAGCAGCATCCTGGTTCTACTAGTTCTGTAAGGGTAGCACTGCTCAGGAATTATTCCTCAAACGTGCTGTGCGCAATATTGGTATCGCAATCCTTGTCCGAACTAAGCATCATGACATTGTAAAAAGCTAAAAACTGTTTTATCAATGTCAAAAGTTTTATTCCATCAAATTGATGTGACATATATTGTTCTCATACTCAATAAGCTGATCAAGTAATAGTCCATACCAAGAACGTTAACTTGAAAAATGACTTGATTGTTCTGTAACAATTGTTACCGAGCCACTGGAATGCAACAACTCTAACTAGAGAGAGTCAAGCTATAGATGTCAATAACTAGAAACAGCGGGTTTCTTGGTAAGATATGGATCTTTGTTTTGGGATATTACCAAGGCACATGGTCTGCATGTTGGGCCGAATCACCCTATGACCCCAAAAAATTTTGAATAATGCTATCAAGTATCAGTGGTACTAAAAGACCAGTTTATGTGGTATTATGTGATATATTTAATTAAATTTGAGATTATGTTATTCATTAAATTGTATCTTTTATTTAATAATATTTAGTGTCATCTAAACTGGTATTGTAATATCAATAGTGCTAAACAACATTACCCTATAATTTCTATGGAGTCTTGATTTCACAATTGGTTTGTGTCACTGGAATTAGAAGGCCATCTGATTCCATGAATGTGAGGGGAAGTTATGTCAAGATCACCTTTTCAATTCTACATCAAACGTGGAATACCTATTTCATTTATTTTTTAAAATCTATAAGCACTCTATAACTCTCTTTATTTATAGAAGAATTTAGAAAGGACTATATCACGAAGTTACTGTTAGAAAATGAGCAGCTACAGACATAAGCCCTAAAGAGGGTTGACGATAATGTTTTCTTCTAAAACTCAGGTAGTTGTGAAGGCCCATTTGACGGAATTATAAGTACTTTACACATTCTTTCCATAAGATGAATTGTAACTAAAGTGATTGTAATAACTTCCTAAAAGTGCTTCTATAGGTGAAGTTAAGTTTGGCTAAATAATTTAACAATAAAGGTCTTCAACCTTTGGTCAATGTCACACTTACTTTTCCAATTTCTTTTTAACACATTCTTATAATCATAATTCATTAATTAACATATATTGTACTTGATCACAATTTTTGCCAAAAAAATCGTTAAGAGGTAAACAAAAAATGAAAAAAAAGAAGAAGAAGAAAAGCAAATACAAATATTCGACAAAATATTTGTCACTCATTTCAAAGCACTCTAATAGATTATTTGAACGAGAAGGTGATTTGAGACAATAATACTAATTAATTGAAGATTATATATAATGATGTGAATAAAAATAGAACCATAAGTGCGGAATTGAAAAAGGTAGAGAATTTTCACTGCATTTAAAACATAATGCAACTAAAAAAATTTGTAGTGTGAAAATAATCAATCTTTTGTCAATTTTTATATTGATAAAAAATAAATTTTACCTTCCAAATTTTATTCGCCCTTATCCTTCCAACAATTAAGCATATTAAGCATATTTAATTTTGCACAACTTTCACCATTTTTTTTTTATATTAATTGAAGTCGCAAGACAAAATGCCACATAAATTATTGGTAGAAATTATTAATACAATTTTGCAATTGCGAAAGTCAGCACCTGTTTGGTGTAGATTAAAATATACTTTTAGGATGAATTTATTGTAGGGCTCAGTGTTAAAAAAATAACTAAACTTCGTTAATCATTAAAATCTCGGTGAACTTTAAAATGTTGCGAAAGTATCATTGAATTCTATCAAAATGTTATACATCCATTGCTAGTTAAGATTCGTTAGATGGTTTGGGGGGCCTTTAAAAAAATAATCATGAAATATTTAATAAAAAACTGATCATTTGATAACTGATTATACTTGACGAAAATTAATAATCGTCGATGATTTATATGAATTTACCAACAATGCCACAATATTATTGATCAACGTCAATCAATAATTATCGAAAAAAATATTGTCCAGAGATGTTATGGACATCACAAATGGTGCCTTGGTTGTTCATTGTCAATGAATTCATTTTTTAATATTACTTCTGTGGTTGATTATTTCAAAATAAGTAAACTTTTGGTCGCGTCGGGAAAATCTCATTAAACTTTAACAATATTACTAAAATGTCATTGAACTTTGTCAAAATACTCTAAATCTATCGATTACTTAGAGAATTGAACTACAATTTGCTTTTGTGTGAACTATATCTTCCATGTAAGCAGTACTGTCGACAAAATCATTAACAAAATCTGAACTGTGATTGATGAAGATATTCTGACAATAGTTCAGTAATGTTTCAACGACATTTTAGAATTCAGTGAGGTCGCCATGACACAATCCAAAGTTCAAATATTTTTGGAAGAATTAACTTGTATCCGAGCAAGGACAGAGGCCCCAAAAAATAGAGGTAAAATCCACTGCCAATAAAAATGAAAATAAAATAAAAATGGTAAAAAAATAAAAGAAAAAAGAAAAAAGAAAAGCCGCAGTAATAGAGTTTGTTTAGTACTAATAAATCTGTCATTCCCCAACAGAAACGAGGAATATTTGTTATCTAATCTAAAAGGTAAAAAGTCAGAAATTCTTGAAAGAGAGATGTCGGACGAGGAATACCATTTTGAGTCCAAGGCTGATGCAGGTGCCTCCAAGACTTTTCCTCAACAAGCTGGTACCATCCGCAAGAATGGTTATATAGTCATTAAGGGCAGGCCTTGCAAGGTGGATCCCAATCTTGTCTCTATATATTTGTGTTTTGATTTGTTTCTTTCATTAGTTTTTACAAATTTTGTAGAAAGATTGGATTTTTATGTGTTCTTTTTCAACTTTGGCTTTAAATTTCAACTGGGTTTTTGTTAAATTTGTAGGGATAATTTCCAGCAAACACCAAGCACAAACCGGGCTCAGTTTCACCTATTTCATTGACACCATCAAGGTTGAGACAACTCCAAAACCACCACCAAGGTCGCCCCACTTCCGGTTGCTATAGGTTGGGAAGATGAAGTCTAATGATATGCCCACTAAGAATTAACCACAAAGGTCACATTGAAGTTATGAAGAAACCGAGAGGTAAGTCTCACAAAGAGAAATTGGGCATCATACAATGGAGGCCGAGAGGGAGACGGGAATATAAGCCAAGTAAATATCCAAAAAAGGTAAGTTAGGTTAGGGTTAATTTGTGGACCAAATAAGGCTCGACTCAATATTAATGGGATTCAAACTAATAATATAGCCTTCCAAAGAAATGGGGCGAACCGCGAGCAACACTATTAACAATAGGTTGCTTCGAACAGTCCATACGAATGTGGATTGTGTTATCTCGATAATTGTGTCGATGTATTAATCAATCATATGACCAAGGCCGATTGATAATAAAACCGAGGTTACATCATAGCCCAGGGAGGTCGTTTGACAACAAATTGCCTAACAACCTCCACCTTTGTGTCAAAGGACCTGCAAAAGAAAATTGTCTCCCATTAGTGACACCTCTAATAGAAAACCAATAAAATTGAAAATCATTTACCTATACCAATGTTTAGAAGTTCCTTGCAACTTCTAAACTTTGCCAGTGGCAGTACCTTCGTCCCCATATCAGAGGGGTTGTAGTGGGTGTGGACTTTCTCAAGTCTTACCACCTCTTGAGATACTATATCTCTAATGAAGTGGAATCTAACATCAATGTGTTTAGTATGCTCGTGAAAAACGAGGTGCTTGCATAAATGTATAAATGATTGACTATCAGAATACACTACCACATAATCATTCAAGACACATAGTTCATGGAGTAGACTTTTAAGTCATAGAGCTTCTTTAATAGTTTCAGTGGTAGCAATATATTCCGATTCTGTAGTGGATAGTGCGACAATATGTTGTAACTATGATTTTCAACTAACACATGAATTAGATAAGGTAAACACGTAAGATGAAGTAGATTTCCTACCATCCCTATCTCTCGCGTAGTCTGCATCTACAAAATCCTTTAATTTTATGCCTTCTTCATTAGTATTAAACTTTAAACCTACGTTACTTGTACCCTTCAAGTACTTTAGCAGCCACTTTAGCACTTCCCAATGTTCAGGGCCCGAATTAGCCATATATCTACTGAGAGTACTAATAGCAAAACCTAAATTAGGTCTAGTGCAAATCATCAAATACATTATGGAACCAATCACATTAGAATAAGGCACTCTACTCATGTATTCTACTTCACGCTCATTGCAAGGAGATTGTTCCTTCGATAAAATAAAATGATTAGTAAGAGGCAACGTGACAAGTTTGCAATCACTCATATTAAATTTTTTCAATACTTTGGATATGTATGGAGACTGATGCAAAAACAAAACAGAATTTGACCTATCTCTTTCGATTGCAATGCCTAAGATTCTCTTAGCCTTACCTAGGTCTTTCATGTCAAATTCACCACTTAGTTTTGCTTTTATGTTATTTATCCACTTAGAGAATGATCCAATCAAAAGCATGTCGTCCACATAGAGTAACAAAAACAGATAATTATCATCAGTCTCATTGTGTTAAAAATACAGGCAGTGATCAAATTTACTTCTTTGGAACCTTATAGTGAGTACAAATGAATCAAACCTCTTGTACCACTGTCTAGAAGATTGTTTTAACCCATAAAAGGATCTTCTCAGAAAACACACATAATCAAGTTTTCACTTATTCTTAAAACATTTTGGTTCATTCATGAAAATTTGTTCATCAAGCTCACCATGTAAGAAATCAGTTTTTACGTCAAGTTATTCAAGTTCTCAGTTACAATGTGCAACCAATGCGAGTATGACCCTAATAGTGGTGTACTTAACAACTTGTGAGAAAATTTCATTATAATCAACGCCCTCCTTCTGTATGTAGCCTTTAGCTACTAACTTAGCTTTAAACTTTAGGGGTTCCGAGCTGCTAGTCCCTTCCTTAACCTTAAAAACCCATTTGCAATCAACAATTGATTTGTTCTTAGGCCTAGGTACTAGCTCCCAAGTATGATTCTTTTCTAGAGAACTCATCTCTTCTTCCATTGCCTTAAGCCATTCATTAGATTGATCACTGCCTATTGCCTCTTCAAAGGTCTTTGGCTCTTTATCAGCTAATTCTTTATAACTAGCCTGGGTGAAAACTAATTCAGATTCAAAACTGAACCTTCTTGGTTCTCTCGTCTGTCTCCTTTCTCTATCCCTAACTAAGTTATAGTTAGCTAAATGATTTTCTTCCTTATAGTGCTCTTCTATCACTATTTCGTTACTATTCTTCACCTCGGGTTCCTGATTTTGAGTCTCCATCTCATTTGAAGCAGTAGGGGCAGGTGGACTGAGTTATCCTAACTCCACCTTAAACTGGTCTCTCTCTTCACCTGATTCAACTTCACTCTCAGGTTCAGTTTCTCCTTTAACACACGGCATCTCATTTTCGTTAAACGTAACATCTCTACTTATGATGATTTTAACCCCTTTTTGGCTTCTATCCCATAACCTATAACCCTTAACACCCTCGGGGTATCCTAGGAAGACACACTTCCTAACTCTAGGTTCCAACTTACCCTCACTTTGATGAGAAAAAGCCGTACAGCCAAAAGTTCTAAGTATCGAGTAATCACTCAGTTTACCCGACCATCTTTCATGCGGAGTGTCACCATTCAATGCAGTAGAAGGAGTCAGATTAATCAAATAACAAGCGGTCATAACAGCCTTACCCCAAAATGACTCGGGAACACCAGAACTAATAATCATGCAACGTACTTTATCAAGTATGGTCCTATTCATCATTTCTGCTACCCCATTTTGCTGAGGGGTGTAAGGAACGGTCTTATGTCTAGTTATGCCGTTTTCTTTACACATCTATCAAATTCTTTATTGCAGAATTCTAGGCCATTATCTGTCCTTAAAAATTTGATTTTCTAACGTCCTTTAACGTATACACAAAATCTGTGTCAAATTTTACGTTTATGTCACCAATTCCAGCAATAGTATAGGCAAAGTTATCACACAATACAACATGCCCAACATTAGATTCATGCAACTTATAAAATCAACCCTTTTCAGACGTCACATAAAAAGATGCACCAGAGTCAAGTATCCACTTATGCATGCGGGAATTAGCAGTTAGATTTAATTCAGTAGTGTATGCAACTGGACTTGTAATCATATGGACCTCACCACCATTTATATCGGAAGTAGATGCTAACACATTTACCTCATCTCTCTCCTTAACCTTTAGCTTACCCTTTTCCTTATGACAATCTTTTATAAAATGCCCTGTATTTCCACAACCATAGCATTTTCTCGACTTAGTTCTAGATTTTGATCTAGACCTACCTTTGCTCTTTTTTTTCCATCCATTACTACTTGACTCGCCACTAGTTTGATATCCCTCATGACTATTTTGCCTAAATTGAGTTCTACCCCGCATCATATGTACCTCACCGTTCCTGTTATCATGTTTTTCAGCCCTAATTTTCATTTCTTTACTTCTAAGGGAATCTATGACAATTTCAGGTGTTAACGTGTCTCTACCATACTTCATGGCGTTCTTAACTTCCTTATAGGAATCAGGAATTGCATTGAGCAAAATTATAACCTTATAAGTTTCGGACACAGCCTCATCACAATTAACTATATCTTGCACCAATTGTTAAATACGTCAAGATTGTCATCAAGATCTTTTGAAGGATCCATTTTGAAATTGAAAAAAGTTCAAGCAAGTAAAGTTTATTCGGTGTAGACTTAAACAAATACAAGTCTTCTAATTTCTTCCAAAGTTCTTTAGTGGTTTTCAGTTTACCCACCTTTTTTAAAACGGCGTCAGACAAGTGTAAAATAATTGAGGTATAAAAAAGCTCATCGACTTCTTCTCTTTGTTCTTGTGAAAAATCAGTTGAAAAATTGCGTTCAATGTCTTTTGAAACCTTTTGTTGGACTAAAATACCCTTAATTTTTTGTTGCCAAATAGCAAAGTCACCCTTTCCATTAAAAATTCTGAAATCAAAACTGTGAGTTGTCATCTTTACACAACAGTCAAAAAATGCACAAACCACAATCAAACCACACAAAATAGTCCTAGGGTCACAGACAGTATACACCATTCTAGATTCCCAGGGTTTCGTAAGACTCACGATCTTAGATCAAGGAAATGTTCGAACGGGTAAGGTCACGGTATTTCTAACGAAATAAGTAAGCAGCGAAAATAACAATGCAGCAAAAAATATGTCTAGCAGATAACTAGTCCCACAGTAATTAGATCACTAAGAATTACAAAACTGATTTTAACCCAAAACAAATACTCAATCCAAAAATCAATCAAGAGCACGTAACCCTAATTCTAGCACAAGCAATGGTTGCCAAGCAATGACAACCCCCAACCTATTGTCACCCTACACGGTGACGCGCTAATACTAATAAATTAACGGGTTAAGCCAATTTACCAGAGCGGACGCGTCTGAGTCCGTATAATAGAGAGAGATGCGAATCTACTGCTTTAGGGGCCGCAATCTTGGCCTAAAGTAATTCAGTAGATATATACAGTTTCAATCGTCGATCCACCAGTGGCAAAATTGTCCAACTTTTTCTGTGTAACCTGAAACAAAAAATAAACAGTGTCAGTACGTTCAGGGGATTGAAATGAGCAAATTGCCGGAAGGAAGTTCGCCCGGAATCGCCGCCAAGCGCTGCCGCCGCTGCCAGGCGCCGCACTGGGAGGGGTGCCTCGGCCTGCTAGTTCCGGGTATGGGGTTGATTTCGCCGGAAAGTTACTGGTCTGGCCGGAAAATGAGATTGCAGGTTTGGTTTCCTATAGAAATCGCGCACACCACCGCCTGTTTTGGTGGTTTTTTGGCCGGAGAAGGTGACTTCGGCTCTGATACCAGTTGTAGGGATAATATCCAGCAAACACCAAGCACAAACCGGGCTCAGTTTCACCTATTTCATCGACACCACTAAGGTTGAGACAACTCCAAAACCACCCCAAGGCCGCCCCACTTCCGGTTGCTATAGGTTGGGAAGATGAAGTCTAATGATATGCCTACTAAGGATTAACCACAAAGGTCACAGTGAAGTGATGAAGAAACCGAGAGGTAAATCTCACAAAGAGAAATTGGGCATCATACAATAGATGCCGAGAGAGAGACGGGAATATAAGCCAAGTAAATATCCAAAAAAGGTAAGTTAGGTTAGGGTTAATTTGTGGACCAAACAAGGCTCGACTCAATATTAATGGGCTTCGAACTAATAATATAGCCTTCCAAAGAAATGGGGCGAACCGCGAGCAACACTATTAACAATAGGTTGCTTCGAACGGTCCATACGAATGTGGATTGTGTTGTTTCGATAATTGTGTACTAATCAATCATATGGTCAAGGCCGATTGATAATAAAATCGAGATTACATCATAGCTCGGGAAGGTCGTTTGACAACAAATTGCCTAACAAAATTGTTTAGATCTTGATAAGTAACGGGTTCTCACCCCATGCCATACATATAGGCAGTTAGGCACTACTGTATATAATTTGGGAAACAGTATTAACATTGTTGCTATTTGTTGTTCTCTTCTTTCTTTCTATTCTCAGAGCTAAATATTCTATTGATCTATAGGTGAATATCGTCTAGCTTTTGCCTTTTCCTTGCCTTTTTTTAAAGGAAAGTTTTGGTTTCCTCGTTTTATACACTAATCCAGTTACTTTAATTAATATTTTTGTGTCAAGTAGGATTTTTCTCTAATCACATCAAGTTTACAATATTAAAAAAAAATTTAAAATTGTGAAGAATGGAGAACTCTATGAGTTCAATATGCATATTTATGTCACGTTGATACGAGACTAGTTGAAGGTCGCGTCAAGAACCATGAATTTTATAGGCATTGAAAATTTATTACATATTATGAGGCCAAACCTGTTTTAAGTAAACATGTCTTCTCAATATGTTTTGTTCTGTATTTAATCTGTGATGCTTTCTGATTTTTTTTAGGCTCAAATTTTTGTGTCTTTCAGGGGCCTTAGACCTTCTTTAGATTAGAAGCATTGACTAAAATTTTAGTATCCCTGTTCAAATTTTCTTCGAGTTTATCTGAATTGTTGACTCTATCTGTCCTGCTTGAGAAAATATTGTTCTTTCTTAGAATCTGGATAGGAATTCTATTGCATGACCTAATTATAGTCCTTGATGTTAAAAATATACTTACTCGTATTTCTACAGATCTACGCATTATATATTTATATATTTGTGTCATTTTTCATTTCAAGAAATGAAATACTTTTGTGTGTTTGTATCGATAGACATCAATATTAGTGTTTTGCATATGTAACCATATATTGATGTGTTTGTTGTCATGAGGGTAGTGTAGGTGTATCCTACTAATATTGTTCCTTTATATTTCATTTTCATCATTCGTCTCTCTGAAGAATAATTATTCTTCCCAGATATGTCATCCTATTCGACCTTATCACTTTTTTCATAGAGTTGGCACATGTATAGAAATGAAAATGCAGTATATACTCTTAAAGTCTAGGAATGCTGACCTTGTGTCCAGATGAAACATTAAAGGAGAGTGTTAGATGTACACATAATTTTGTACAAAATGGTTTACTTACATTCACAATGGGAGGGTGGGGGCCACATGTTGACATTTTTTTATTTCATGTGGGGCCCAAGTGTATGTGAGAGTGAGTAAAACATTTTGTACAAATATGTAAGTACAAATATCTTTATCCAACATTAAATCAAACATTTTTGAAACTAGCACCATTTGGCTGTAAAAGTGAGAATCATTATCTCCCCCAAGACATTGTTAAGAGATGATTGATGTTTTATCATTATTTTATTAGGTCGTTGAAGTCTCCACCTCCAAAACTGGCAAGCATAGACACGCAAAGTGTCACTTTGTTGCAATTGACATATTCAGCGGCAAAAAGCTTGAAGATATTGTTCCGTCCTCCCACAATTGTGATGTAATAAATTTTTTGTTTATTCTGTTGTTATTTTTGGTTTTCTTTACATGCAAAGTTTAAGTGATCTTGTGTTTGTTGGGAAAACGACCTCCCAAGATTGTCCAAGAAATAAAGTTTGACAATGTGAAAAATTCCAAACCACTTCAAGAATAAGAAAATGGGGAAAAATGATTTTCAATGTATATTGGAAGAGTAATGAATTTGGATTACTTGAACAAGCCTCAAGTTAATCCCCAAGAAAGAAAATAACTTTGAATTTATACCTAAGACGAACAACCTCAATCTTGTAAAATTCTATCCAAGCTTTCTCCCTTTTTCTCTCTCAAAATCGGGTGCTAGGTTTGTTACAATATGAAAGGGCAAAAAATCGGAAATAAATATATGTATCGGCGCCCAAGAGTGGCGCCTAGGCTCCATGTTTCTGTCTGGTTCCACAATCGGGGCGCCATTCCACTTCTCTTCCTCCTCTCTTCTACTCCTTCATTTCTTACAATTCTCCACCTCGTACATCATTTGATAGACCTCAAATTTTGGACGAACACAAGAAGAAGTAGCAAGTGCCAAACTCGGCTGCACCATTCAAACAATGGTTGCCTACGTACCCAAAACTCGGGATCAAGCCTCCGTAGTTCACCTCCACCTTCGTATACTCTTCACCTCATTTCAACCCCGCCCCAAAGGGCCATGCCCACTCGGACATATCAACACGGACTAATGTGAAGCAAGTCCAAGCAATGCTGAAACTTGCTACCCGTTACCACTTTGGTTAACATGTCTGCTGGGTTCTCATTTGTGTGTACCTTCAAGAGTGAAATATCACCTTCTTCTATTACATCACGCACAAAATGATACCTAACGTCGATATGCTTGGTTCGAGCATGGTGAACCTGATTCTTAGCCAAGTGAATCGCACTCTGGCTATCACACCACAAGTCCTGCTCAATCCCCAAATCATCTAGAAGACCCCATAACCACAATACTTCCTTCACTCCCTCTACCATGGCCATATACTCGACCTCTGTAGTAGAAAAAAACTGTAGCCTGTAACATCGATCGCCAACTAATTGGGGCACCATGTATGCAAAACACATATCCAGTAGTAGATCGTCGTCTATCTAGATCACCTGCATAATCCGAGTCCACAAACCTACTTATATGACATGCATCTCCACCAAAACATAAACTCGTATCCGCGGTACCTTTTAAGTACCTCAGGATCCACTTTACAGCTTCCCAGTGTACCTTCCCCGGATTCGCCATGAATCTGCTGACCACACTAACCCCTGTGAAATATCTGGGCGTGTACACACCATGGCATACATCAAACTGCCAACTGCACTAGCATAAGGTACACGATCCATGCGTACCTTTTCTTCCGTTGTAGTAGGAGACTATTTACCAGAGAGCCTGAAATGTGGAACCAATGGAGTCACCACCGACTTTGCACCTTGCAACCCGAACCTAGCAATAACCCGCTCAATGTAGCCTTTCTGACTCAAGAACATTCGTCGATTCGTCCTCTCTCTTCTAATCTCCATACCCAGTATTTTCCTAGCAGCCCCTATATCCTTCATCTCAAACTCTTTACCAAGTTGAGATTTCAACCTATCTATCTCCCCCTTGCTTTTCGAAGCGATAAGCATGTCATCCACATACAATAGAAGATAGATATAGTTACCTCCCCGAAGTTTTCGAATATAAACACAACAGTCATACTCACTTCTGGAGAAACCATGCTTTAGTATGAAGGAGTCAAATCGCTTGTACCACTGCCGAGGAGATTGCTTCAATTCATATAGTGATTTTCTCAAGCGACATACCTGACGTTCCTTATCCTCAACCTTGTAGCCCTCAGGTTGATGCATATAGATTTCCTCATCCAAGTCCCTGTGCAAGAAGGCGATTTTGACATCGAATTGTTCCAGCTCAAGATCATGATGAGCAACAATACTCAATAGCACCCGAATGGAAGTGTGCTTGACCACCGGAGAAAAGATCTCATTGTAGTCAACTCCCTCTCTTTGTGCAAACCCCTTAGCCACTAACCTTGCTTTGAATCTTGTACCACTGAGCTTGGTAGAATCCTCTTTATTTTTGTACAACCACTTGCAACCAATAGCTTTCTTACCTATGGGCAATGGGACAACCTCCCATGTTTGGTTCTTGTGAAGTGATTCCATCTCTTCTTCCATCGCTGCCAACTAACTCTCACTATTGTTGTTTAAAATAGCTTCCTTGAAAGTGGTAGGCTCATCATCCTCCACCGAGAGTGCATACTCAACCAAATTTGTCTGCCTATAGTGCCTCAAAGATTTGTCTGACCCCAACTTTAGAACTTGTTTGTAAGTACGGCGTGGCCTAGAGGAAGCCAAGTTATCTGCAAGCTGTTGTTGTTACTGTGCCTGTACATTCTCTTGTTGAACCGCCTCTTGTTCAAGCCTATCATCACTCTCATCTTGAGTGTCTGCATGATGCTCCTCTTGAACATGCCTAAAACCAGGTTGATCTCTAGGTTCTATGTCAACAACTTGAAACTTTGTAGTCTCAACATCATCACCACCGGGCACTGTAGCTTTCAACGAAGCTATCATGGAGTTCTCATCAAAAGTAACATCTCTGCTGATTATGAACTTAGAATCCTCTACACACCATAGGTGATAGCCTTTAACACCTGCCTGATACCCCAAGAATATAACCTTCTCAGCCCTCGCATCAAGCTTTCCCTAGTTGACGTGATAATAGGCTGTGCATTCGAATATTCTGAGTTTCTCATAATCTGCATGTTCTCCTGTCAATACCATGTAAGGTACATCTCCATCTAACCTTGAATGTGGAGACCGGTTCACTATGTAGCAAGCATTTGCAACCGACTCTGCCCAGCATTCTCTGCCCAAACCAGTATAGGATTGCATACACATTGATTGCTCTCGAAATGTGCGATTCAGTCTTTTTGGGACCCCATTCTGTTGCAGTGTATTTCTAACTATCCAGTGTCTCGCAATACCTTCCTTACCACAGAACTCCTTGAAAGCATCATCTGTATACTCAGTACCGTTATCAGATCGCAGTGTCTTCAATTTCTTTCCTGTTCTGTTTTCAACCATTGCTTTCCACTTCTTGAAAATGTCGAATACCTCATTCTTATGCTTCAAAAAATAAATCTAAGCATATCTAGAATAATCATCAACAAATGTAACAAAATACCTGGAACTGCCTTTGGAAGTGACAGAAGCCGGACCCCATACATCCTTGTGTACATAGTCTAGAATGCCTCTGCTTCTATGTTTGCTTGGCTGGAACTGAACTCGGTGTGCTTTACCGTACACGCAATGCTCGCAAAAATTCATGCAAGGCTTCTTCAAGTTCTTTAGCAACCCTTTCTTGACTAGCAAATCTAGCCCCTTTTCAGACATATGCCTAAGCCTCCTATGCCATAGTCGAGTGCACTCACATGGGTCTCCACCACTGCTACATCTTCTGTAACTGTAGTACCCTGAAGAGCATAAAGATTCCCTTCACGAATACCCTTCATCACAATCAAAGAACCACGAACAAACTTCTTTACTCCATTCCATGTTACAATCTTGCAACCACCAGAGTCTAAGGCACCAACAGAGATAAGGTTCTTCCGCAAATCAGGAACATGTCTAACATCCATCAATATTCTAACCACTCCATCATGCATCTTGATACTAATTGAACCGAGCCCCACCGTTTTACAGGAATGGTTATTACCCATCAACACGGTTCCACTATCAGTGCTTCTATAGGTAGTAAACCACTTCCTATTTGGACACATATGGTAAAAGCATCCAGAGTCAAGAATCCATTTACCGGAGGTTTCTTCATCACAAGAGATGGTGTAGCACTCATCGCTTTTCCCTCCTTCCGAGGCATAGCTTACCTCTTACTTGACTTGTACCTTCCCGTTGTTGTTGTTCTTATTGTTCTTCTTCCAACCCTTTTTGTTAAGACAATTCGCCTTGAAATGCCCAAACTCGCTGCATTTGAAACAAGACCTTTCTGTAAGGGGTCTAGAACTCGATCTAGAATTTTCTCCCTTGCCCTTTGGTCGCACATTGCTTCTACCCCTTACAAACAATCCTTGAGCTTGCTCCTTGTTACCAATGGTAGATATGCCACTAGTTGCAATCTTTAGAAGATCATTCGCTAGAAGTGACGTTCTAGTGTCCTCCATCACAAGTTTATCACCCACAAGCATCAATGTTTGTACTAGGTTTTCGTAAGACTTTGGCAATGAAAGAAGTAGTAGAAGTGCTTGATCCTCGTCATCTACTTCCACATCAATGTCCTTCAAGTCTGATATGATCCTATCAAACTTGTTTACGTACTCCCGGATTGGTGTACCTTCATCCATCTTGCAAGCATACAATTTGGACTTCAAATAGATCCGATTTGTTAGAGTCTTCGTCATGAAGTTCGCCTCCAACTTTGTCCACACCTCCGCCACCGTTACCTCACTATCAATCAAGAAAGCAACATCTCTTTCAAGGCATAGAATGATAGACGCTCGTGCCTTAAGATCTAGCTCTTCCCAATCCTCGTCCGACATATCAACGTGCTTCTTCTCCTTTCCCGCCAATGCCTTGTGCAACTTTTGAGAAATCAACAAATTTTTCATTTGCATTCTCCAATATGAAAAATCATTCTTCCCATTGAATTTCTTTATCTTATACTTCCCAATCTTCACCATTCCTCTAGTAGACATGATTTATCTACTTGTTTACCGGAGATAAACCACTAAAGTTCACTTGGGAATTTTTACAAACACCTTGTGTGCACAACAAAGTTCAAGCAACTCACGAAAAATCGAAGCTTAATCACTTTGATTTAAGAAGAAGCTCTGATACCAAATTGTTGAGAAAAGGACCTCCCAAGATTGCCCAAGAAATAAAGCTTGACAATGTGAAAAATTCCAAATCACTTCAAGAACAAGAAAATGGGGAAGAAATGATTATCAATGTATATTGGAAGAGCAATGAATTTGGATTACTTGAACAAGCCTCAAGTTAATCCCCAAGAAAGAAAATAGCTTTGAATTTATACCCAAGATGAACAACCCCAATCTTGTAAAATTCTATCCAAACTTTCTCCCTTTTTCTCTCTCAAAATCGTGTGCTAGGTTTGTTACAATATGAAAGGGCAAAAAACCGGAAATAAATATATGTATCGGGGCGCCTAGGCGCCATGTTTCTGTCTGGTTCCACAATCGGGGCGCCTAGGCGCCATTCCACTTCTCTTCCTCCTCTATTCTACTCCTTCCTTTCTCACAGTGTTGACATGTTCTCTTAGGTGCCCCATGTCAATCGTACTGATCATCAGCTCATCGACATCTCTGAAGATGGTTTTGTAAGTTATTTCATTATCGAATGCTAAAGCTGTCGTTTTTTGTATTATTCTTTTCTGCTTTGCTTACAAGTTTATGCACTGACCCACTAAAACAATGCTTACGTGTTTCATGAACTTAAAGTTTGACCTTAGGTTGAATTTGAATATCTTAAATATTTCATTTTTTCTGTCCAATGAATCGTCGCTTTGTTTCCTGCATTGAATGTCTTAAAGGTTTGAAATTTATTTTACAGCCACATGTTATACTGATTTAGATTGGCTCTAGATTTTACAGTTTTTGTGATGCCTTTATCCAGGGATAGATTTACTCTCTATCACAAGTTTGAACCCTCAATGCAGAGGCTGCTCAAAAATCTATTTTCTTAACGAAAAATATTTGACCATTTGGATTTTCATGATTTGTAGGTTTCGCTTCTGACTGAAACCGGTAACACCAAAGATGACTTGAAGCTTCCAACGGATGAAAATCTGCTTGGCCAGGTTGGCAGATTCTATTACTAGTAGTGATTTTTCAGTCATGTACAAAGACATTTTCGTGTTTTTTAGTTATATTCCTTGCATTTGAGGCTCCCAAACTTTACTTCGTGAAGAACTTCGGTTTCTATTGTATGTAGATTAAAAGTGGCTTTGAGGAGGGAAAGGATCTCGTGGTGAGTGTCATGTCTGCAATGGGAGAAGAGCAGATCTGCGCGCTGAAAGATATCGGTCCTAAGAACTAATTACTGTCCCGTTTATTATAGAAACCGGCCCCTAAAACTTTGACTTAGATGTAATCTTGAAGCCATATTCAAAAGTATTTATATGGATGATGAAACGGATATAGAACTGTTGATTCCCTCCTGGGAAAAACTAAGTGTGTATTCTCTCTTTTCAACATTGAGCCCGGCTGGTGAGCACTTTTCTCCAGCAGATATTCAATTATGATCGAGGTAGTTTTATTGAAAAATTATCTTGTTCACTTGTTACCATCTAATCTTATTAAGGGGTGGGTTCAATTATTTAGAAGTAGNGGTTCTTGGGTTATTGTGATTCGATATGTTCTTGGTGATTTCTCAATCTGTAATCTTAGTGATGGTTTCTGATTGTGTTGTATTGTTTGTTAGCGATTGAGAGTGAGTTGAATTACAGTTTTTGAATAGAGGCGAAAGGAAACTCGAAGAAACCAAACATATTGTCCTGTTCTTGGTTGATACTTAGTGGATCTTGAGCTTTATCACCTTTTGGTGATGGTCAACGGGTGATTAGGTCGCAAGACTAAACATCCGGACCCTTTTTAGGGCGAAACATATATTTGTGTTCGAATCTTTTTCCTGCGAATTATTTTTACTGCAAAGCGATCCGATTTCTTAAAACTTAACTTTTTTTGACTTAACAAGTGGTATCAGAGCCACTATTTGCTGAAATTTTTTTTTCGAATAGTATCTTCAAAAGGATTCTTGGGGATCTTAGATTTGGTGTTTCTGGAAAACCGTTTTTTGTTCTTGAAAGCTGAAATTTTAATTTCTTTATGACTCGTTTTTAACTCGTTCTAACTCTGTTTGATTTGTTTTTTTTTTGTACTGGATTGTGCGAGTTGAGTTGACTCGGTCCGAGTTGTGGTGAATTCCTGACTCACTACTGAGTTCACACTAAGTTCTAGTGACTCATTGGCTTCTTGAACTTGTATTGCCCTTCTTGTTTCGGTTCTGATACTTCCTTACTGTTTTCTTTATTCTGAAACATTAAGTTTTTAGAATCTGGTATTTTCTGGAACCCTCCTTTATTAAACCGTAATTGTAATCTGTTTAGTGTTTGGTCATTAAGGTAAGTAATCTTCCACTGCTTACCTTTGTCCAAGATCTCCTACGAGGATCTGGGAATCTGAGGAAGTAGTGGGCTACAAGAATTATCACTCTTTAGACCACTCTTAGACTGTCTTTCAGTTTTTGAATTGAATTGTGTATTACATGATAAGTAGATATAATTATATTTTATGCCTTATTCATTGTGTCACATTTTGTCAATTCAATAAAATACTTGAATCAATATACTCTGTGTGCTGTATAAATTTTGTGTACATATCTGTCATCATGTCCACGTCTCAAAAATTTGAAGTTGAGAAATGGAATGGTACTGAAGACTTTAGTCTCTGGCACCAAAAATTGAGGGCATTATTGCTGCAGCAGAGGTGTGCTACAGCCATTGATGGTAATTGTCCTGTGGAAACTAGTGCCCATAGGACACATGAATTAGATGACAGTGCATGGAATACAATTTTCTTACACTTATATGATAGTGTAATTAGGAAAGTTGGAGAAACTACAACTGCTCAGGCTCTTTGGACTAAGTTAGGAACACTATGTCTAACTAGAACCATGCCTAATAAATGCTACCTTCTAAGGCAATTCTATAATTTTAGATTTGATCCCACCTCAAATCTGGAAAATAACCTTGACAAATTCACAAAACTGATTCAGGACCTGACTAACTGTGATGAAGAAATTTCTAATGATCAACAAGTTGTGACATTGTTAAATTCACTAAGTGATAAGTATAGAGACATTAGAAATGTATTATAATATGGGGGCAAGAACTTACCATTGATAGAATAACCTTAGTCCTAAGAAACAGAGAACTTGAAATAAAATCTGAGTCTAAAGACTCTAGGTATCGTGAGGGGTTATTCATAAAGGGAAAACAGAACCAAAATAAGAAACAATATCCCTTAAATCAAAATTTAAATAAGAAAGGGAAATCTCAATTCTCCAGATTTATGGAAAAAAATAAGAATCAATGGAAAACTAAAAATCAGATCAGGAAATGTTCTTATTGTGGTAAAACTGGCCACGTAATAAAAGATTGCTTCAAGAAAATCTCAGTTATGAAAGAGAAGACTAATACTGAGAGATCTGCAGTTGTAGCCTGCAGAGATAAATCTGATATTCAAGGGGTTGTTTTAGCAACAACCACCAGAAGAGACCCAAATGAATGAGTCCTTGACTCTGTTTGCACCTTTCACATGTGTCCTACAAAAGAATGTTTTTTTTTGAATTTGTTGACCTAAATGGAGAACAAATTCAGATGGGAAATGACATGAGTTGTCAAATCGAGGAGATTGGGAAGGTCAAACTCTCATTAAATAACAGTTGTACTCTAGAACTTGAGAACACCAGATATGTCCTTGAGCTAAAAAGAAATCTTATTTCCTTGGGTGAGCTTGATGATAAATACAGTATTATGATTCATAAAGGGTTTTAACTCTTATGTAAGAAAATAAAACTATCTGTAAGAAAATAAAACTATCATATCCTCTCAAAAGATAAATGACATATAT